GGCCCTAGTGGCTCACACCTGTAATCCTAGCTACTCAGGAGGCTGAGATCTAAGATCCCAGTTCAAAGCCAGCCCAGGCATGAGACTCTTATCTCCAATTAACCACCAGAAAACCAGAAGTGGCATTGTGGCTTAAGTGGTAGAGCGCTAGTCTTGAGTTGAACAGCACAGGGACAGCCCAAGCCCAGAATTGAAGAGCCACAACTAGCTGGGCGCCCGTGGCTCACACCTATAATCCTAGCCACTTAGGAGACTGAGATCTGAGGATAGCGGTTCAAAGCCAGCCTGGGCAGGAAAGTCCACTCAGGGCCCAAGTGCTGTCCCTGAGCTCCCCTGCTCAAGTGGTCTTTGAGTGGTTAACTGGAGATAAGAGTCTCACGGTCTTGGTCTTTTCCACACAGGCTGGCTTTGAAGCTCGATCCTCAGATCTCAGCCTTCTGAGTAGCTAGGATTACCGGGGTGAGCCACTGGCGCCTGGCTCTTTTTAATTTTTTAAAAACTGTTTTATTAAGGTGTTGTACAGAGGGATTACCATTTCATTTTTCTCTTTCTCTCTTTCTTTCTGGGTCCAGTTGTGGGACCTAAACTCTGGGCCTGGGCGCTGTCCCTCAGCTCTTCAGCTCAAGGCTAGCACTCTACCACTTGAGCCACAGCGCCACTTCCAGCTTTTTTCTTTTTGCTTATGTGGTGCTGAGGAATCGAACCCAGGGCCTCAGGCATGCAAGGCAAGCGCTCTACCACTGAGCCACCTTCCCAGCCCCTTCCTTCCTTCCTTCCTCCTTCCCTCCCTTCCTTCCTTCCTTCCTTTCTTCCCTCCCTCCCTTCCTCCCTTCCTTCCTTCCTCCCTCTCTCCCTTCCTTCCTTCCTCCCTTCCTTCCTCCCTCCCTCCCTTCCTTCCTTCCTCCCTTCCTCCCTTCCTCCCTTCCTCCCTTCTCCCGCGGTCCTTCCTTCTCCTGCGGCTTGAACTCAGGGCCTGGGCTCTGTCCCTGAGCTGAGCTGCTTTTATTCAAGGCTAGCACTGTACTACTTGAGCCACAGCATCACTCCTTTTTCTGTGTATGTGGTACTGAGGAATCGAACCCGTACCTTCACACACTCTACCACTAAGCCACATTCCCAGCCCCCATTTCATACTTTTCTATTTTCAGACAATGTCACCCCTTTCTGCAAACTAGGGTGGGGCTGGGAGAGCAGGCCAATTGGGCGGAGCTAGAGAACTATCCAATTGGGAGGAGCTAGGGTGGGGCTAGAGAACTGTCCAATTGGGAGGAAGAACTAGGCCAGGGCCGGATGGCAGTCCAATCAGGGGCGCTGCAGTCAGTCTGCCCAATGAGAGCCGAGGCGGGCGCCCGTGCCGGGGTTCCTCCTGCCGTGCTCGCTGGCAGTGGCCGTTGGACCGTCGCGCGACGTCCTCCAGTCTGGAGCAGAGGAGGGAGATGGTGAGCGCGCTGCCGGAGCCCCAGCCCATCCCTGCACCCTGAGACACGGCCGGGGGCAGAGCTGGAGCCCGAGTCCAGCCCGGGGCCATAGCCTTCCAGGGGAGCCCCGAGGGTCGGGGTCGGGGCCGCTAGCCACCCGGCAGGCACTGCCGAAAACCTCAGGGCGTCCTTCAGCAGGAGGCGGACAGGGAGGGCGACAGGCCCACGAAGCACAGGGCCAGCCAGGCCCCGGCGCGGCGCCGGTCCCGGAGCGCAGGGAACAGGTGGCGGGGGGGGGGGGGGGGGTGGACGGTAGAGGGGGGCGCGGGGGAGGGGAAAGGACGTGGGCCCCGGCCCCAGGCCACCCCTGAGTCACCAGCCTGGGGTCGGCCTGGGTCGCAGGCCCAGCCCACCCGCCCTGCCCCACCCACGCCGCCCTTCAGCGGGCCTACTGAGTTACCTAAGCCCTCCCATTTATGGAGTGGTGTTGGGACGATCGGAGAGGAAGTTCCAGTCTGAGTGGGGATGCACCGGGGCTTGGTCTTTGTGGGGTGCATGGGCCGTTCCCCCCCTTAAAAGGCCACCCAGGGACAGACATGCCCCTCATGGGCATCTCTGCAGTCCTGCCGCCGCAGGGCCACACAGGTCACCTTGTGGGCAAGGCCTGCTAATTCCTGACCCGACCTGTGGGGACAGGTGCCCCTATCCTCAAGCTCAAACCGCCTGCAAGAGTCCACTTAGGCGGCTGGGAAGTTGGCTCAGTGATAGAGTACTTGCCTCACATGCATGAGGCCCTGGGTTCGATTCCTCAGGGGATTTTCTTTTTTGCTTGGCAATACTCAGGTTTGAACTTGAGGGTCTCTTGCTTGCTAGGCAGGTGTTGAGACCAAAATAAACTATTTCCATGATCAGGAATATGAGCAAAGAAAAGGAGCAGAAAGGTGAACTCGACAGACCAATAGGTTTTATTCAGGATGAAAACCTGGGGAGGGTGACCAAGTCTACTTCAGCCCTGCGCACCTCCCTTGCCACTAGGGTCCTGATTTTTTTTTTTTGGGGGGGGGGGAGAGCATCCTGTGGCTTGAACTCTTGGTCTGGGCACTGTCTCTGAGCATCTTTGGCTGAAGGCTAGCCTTCTACCACTTGAGTCACAGCACCATTTCCAGGTTTTCTGAGTAGTTTATTGGAGATAAGAGGCTCATGGACTTTCTTGCCTAGGCTGGCTTCCAACTTCAATCCTCAGATCTCAGCCTCCTGAGTAGTTAGGATTACAGGTGTGAGCCACCAGCACCCAGCTCTAGATGAGTGCTTCTAATTCCAGTTATTTTCTGTCATAGAACACCTGAGCCACACCCTCCCAACTCTTTTTGCTTTCCCCTCCCTCCCCCAGACAGGGCCAGCCTCAGACCACAATCCTTGTACCTATACCTACTATGTAGCCAGGATTATAGACATGAGCCACCATGCCCAACTATTGATTGAGATGGGGGTAGGCCTCAAACTAGACTCATTCTAGTCTTCTGAGTGGCTGGGATTACAGGAGTGAGTCACTACCCTTGGCCTGCCTCTTTTATGTGAATGATTTTCAGTCCTCAATTTTGTGAGGATCCGTGGTCCTCTGGGGCTCATGGAGTTCTTGTTAGATTTGGGGCACTTCCAAACTGGCTTGTGACATTGAAAAGAAAGTGAAATCTAATCTGACGTATTGTCAAATCATGACACAGATTTGAAAAATCAGTTCTTCCACTTTGTCCAATAGTACACTATTATGATTTCACGCCATCCTCTAACTACTCTAGTATCTATGTGTAAATTCCTGTGTGCATGTGCGTAGGAATTGAACTAGAATTAACCATTTCAAGAAAATTTAGAGGCTGGGTGTGAGTAGGGCAAAGTTCACTGACCTGGCTTCCATTTCCAGCATCATCAAAAGAAAGAATATTGAGATGACTCCAGCTGCTCTTTCCCTCCAGGCCCTCAAAGGGGGCGGGCATCCAGTTGTTCCACTGAGAAGTACATGTAGGCTCAGAAGTGGGAGGGGCCTCAGTCTGCCTGTGGTGGGTGGGGAGGGCCATAATGTGCATGACCCTGGTGCCCAGGCTCAGGGATTATGCTGTGACCCACAGGGGCTGGAGAAGCAATGGAAACAACTCCTTCAACTATGGGATGTCACTGTGTCCTGGGAGGTGGAACAAGGAAGTCCATTCCTTATTTCCTTTGTTTTTTTCTGCTTGGTGTTGGGGATGGAACCCAGGGCCTTTGCACAGACTAGATAGGCCCCGCCACTGGGGCCCAACCCCAGGCATGGAATCTATTTCTGCAAGGAGGATGGCACTGGGAAAACTTTTTATAATTCGGTTCTATAACTAGAAACAGTATTTTTATAATCACGGGCACCTTCATGGAAAGTTCTGGAGTTCACATAACTTGCTGACAAAGGGGCTTTCTTGCTTCATTCCTCAAGATCAGGAGTGCCTGTATGAGTGAATTTTCCAGGACTGTGGTAGACACATGGTTTTGTGACCGATCAAGTGTGTCCATGTGCTTTGTGGCATGTGTGTGTCTGTGTGTTCAGGTTGCTGAGTACCAGCTCCAAGGCTCACACAGTGGAAAGTGGGGCGCTCTAAGTCTTCGCACCTTCCTGAGCTCTGCTGCTCAACGCTCCCTGACCTGGTGAGGGGGCTGCAGGGGAGCTCGAGACCCCATCTCAAACCAAGAGCTGAGTCTAGTGGTGAATATCTGTCATCTCAGATACAAAGGGAAGCTTCCCACTGGTGATCATGGCCCAGGCAGATGCTTGAGCATTAAAGGAGACCCTGCCTCATAAATAGCCAGGAAGCTGCAGGTGTGGCTCAGCAGTAGAGCACCCACCCACCTGGCAAGCAAGGCCCTGAGTTCAAACCCCAGTGTTGAGAAAAGAAAACCTGGTAGAAATCCTGCCATCCACATAGGTGAGCGTGGAGGACACACAGCCATGTGAAACCCACAGGCAGAGGCAGCGGGGCGATGTGGTCTTCCTGTCCTGTGCACTCTGAAAGAGCCAGTGTCCTGAAGCGATAGAAAATTAGGGGCGCTGGCTGGGGGGTGGGGGAGGCAGGAATGATGCTATGTTTGGCATATGCCAAGGATACAGATCCTAAATGTTCTCTGCCACCTTGCATGCATGAGGCCCTGGGTTCAATTCCTCAGCACCACATAAGCAGAAAAAAGCTCAAGTGGTAGAGTGCTAGCCTTGTGCTGAAGAGCTGAGGGACAGCGCCCAGGCCCAGAGTTCAGGCCCCATGACTGACCAAAAAAAAAAAAAGATAGTGAAGCCCGCAGCCGGTGGCTCACGCCTGTAATCCTAGCTACTCAGAGGGCTGAGATCTCAGGATCACAGTACAAAGCCAGTCCAGGCAGGAAAGTCCGTGAGCCTCTTATCTCCAATAAACCTCTAGAAAACCAGAAGTGGCACTGTGGTTGAAGTGGCAGAGCACTCTCCTTGAGCTGAAGAGCTGAGGGACAGCACCCAGGCCCAGAGTTTAAGACCCACAGCAACAACAATAAAAGCCTAGAAAGCCATCTGGACACAGGAAGAGTAGGATGAGAGAGGAAGAGTCAAGACGGGGCGCTGGGAGATGCCAGGATCTGGTGGGCTCCCCCAAAGAACAGAGTCCAGTCCTCTCCCCGTGGCCTTCCACTCACACTTATGGCTTGCTGCAGGATTCCGTGGCCTTTGAGGATGTGGCCGTGGACTTCAGCCCGAGGGAGTGGGCTCTGCTCACCCCAGCCCAGAGAAGACTCTACAGAGAGGTGGTGCTGGACATCTTTCAGGCTCTGGCCTCCATAGGTAAGGGCAACATGGCATTTCCACGCAGACATTTGGAGAGTAACCACTCCTATGTCTTCATGGGTTATACCTGTGGGCCAGAATATGCGATGGTATGGTTTTTGTCTCAAAGTTCATGAATGGAGAGGGGTGTGGTAGCTCAGACTGCAATCTGAGCTATTTGGAATGTAGAGATTGGGAGGATTGCAGTTCAAGACCAGCTCTGGCGAGTGATAAAGGACTAAAGCAGAGCTGGGGGTGCGAATCCAGTGTTAGAGCTCGGGCCTGTGTATGTGCGAAGAAGGCCCTGCCTTCAATCCTCACCACGACAGACAGATTACTGATTCTAGCTGAAGGATACCTAGATGGGTACAGAGATAAATAGATGGATAAATGATAAACAGGCGGAGATACACAGATTATGGAGGGACAGGTGATAGATTATGGGTAGTCGACTCGGGGTAGGTGGTAGAGATACAGGAGAGACACTTAGATTGATATGTAGATAGGTGATAGATAATTAGAGATGTGGATAAACTTGATAGATGATTGCTGAGACAGATGGAGAGATTAGATATGCGTAAAGAAGACAGAAGTAGAGACAGAGGATTGATAGATGATGGATGAGAGATGATGGAGAGATTAGATAGAGGAAGAGAGCTGCAAGCCTTGCTGTAGACACCTGCCTAGCGAGTAGGAAGCCCTAAATTCGAACCCCAGTACCACACACACACAGCTCTGCTTCCCTCCTTGCCTCCACCTGCTTCCTCTTTCTCCTCCCCTACCCTGGATTGGCCCTGCGCTCTTCAACCCCTGCAGATGCAGTCAGATGCCGGGGCCCTGTCCTGCCTCCCCAGCTCCAGAACCATGAGCCTAGGCAAACTTCTTTACTTTATAAATCACCTCGTCTCGGGCACCCTCTTGAATACCAATAGCAAACTGTCTCAGAGAGACCAGTTGTCTGCTGTCTTGTGATGTTTCTGAGTTCCATTGCAAGTGGGAGTGCTGTTAGTAGTGAGGTCAGGGACAGCACTCCTATGGATGTGCACCAGGCCTGAGTCAGTGTGTCCGTGCTGGTGTCTGTTACCTAAGACCTGTGTGCTTTGTTCTTCCAGGTGACCAGAAGCAACTCGGTTCTCAGCAGGATTTCCTTCCCGAAAAATTATCCAATAAGCAGAAAATAGCAAGGTTCATCAGAAATGATACATGGGCCTGTCTTGTAGGAGAAAATTGGGAAGAGCATTACAGAGGTAAACACAAAAAACAGAGGAGATATTTGAGGTTAGTGGTTCTTAGAAGCAAACAGAACTCTCCCAGGAGACAGGCTTGCTTCTATAATGAACTAACTAAAACACACTGGTGGCTCCTGCTTATAATCCCAGCTACTTAGGAAGCTGAGATCTGAGGCTTATGGTTCTAAGCCAGCCTGGGCAGAAAAATCCATGAGACTATTTCCAACTAATAACTCAAATGTTACAAGTGGTAGAGCCGTGAACAAAAACGCTTAGAGCCCGGCGCTGGTGACTCACACCTGTAATCCTAGTGACTCAGGAGGCTGAGATCTGAGGATTGCAGTTCAAAGCCAGCCCAGGCAAGAAAGTCTGTGAGACTCTTATCGCCAATAAACCACCAGAAAACTGGAAGTGGTGCTGTGGATAAAGTGGTAGAGCATTAGCCTTGAGCTAAAGAGCGCAGGGACAGTGCCCAGGCCGAGTTCAGGCCCCATGACCAACAAAAACAAAAAAGCACCATGCTTAGGGGCAGCACCCAGGTCCTGAGTTCAAGCCCTGGTAGCAGTGTGCGTGTGCACAGACACACACACACACACCTAGCTTCAAATTTATTCACAGGTTTCCAGACTTTTTCCTCAGTATGCCTTAGACATTGTGTCTGGAAGATAATTTAGTTGAAAACAGTCATAGGAAGCCACAAATGATTAATGGGTTACTATGGTTAACTTTGCTGTGAAATAATCCAAACCAGACAGACCTCACACACTTATACGGAAAATATAAACTGCTTAGGTATTTCATTCGAAAAGCAAACCCTTAGCAAACGAATTTCCAGTTTGCTTTCTTTTCTTTTGTTCAGTGTTTTGGTGGTCGTGAGGTTTGGATTTAGGGCGCTGCAGTTACTAGGCAGTTGCTCTACCACTTCAGCCTCCCCGGTCAGTTGAGCCCCGCCCCCACCGCTTGAACTCCGCCCTGGCCGCTCGCCACGCCCCTAACGCTTGAGCTGAGCCCGTTGAGCCACGCCCCAACGCTGGAGCTGCTGATCTAACCACGCCCTGTTTTGGCCCCGCCCACAACCGAATTTCCACTTCTCCGCGCGCATAATACTGACGCGCGGGTTCTGTGGGTGCTGTCTCATCCGGAAGACACAGTTTCATGTCCCATTGTATACACTGGCTTCCTATTCAGCCGATTCCATTTTGAAGGATCCTTAATTTGAGGAGGCACAACTGGATGCCGTTTTGATTGCGCGGGAATGGAGCCGGGCCTTGCCTGCCATCCCGGAGGGGCGGTGTGTTCCCCTCGGCCTCACTTCGCATCCCAGCTAGAAAGGCAGCCCCGTTGGGGTTGGAGGCGTGGCTCAGGCGGTAGAGCGCCAGCCAGTGAGCGAGGGCACCGGGTCCCGAGTTCGAGTCCTGGTCTCCTAGCGGAAAAAAAGCGAAGCCCCGGGGAGAGCCCGCGGTGACGCGGCACCGCTGCTGTCGTTGCAGGGTCTCGGTGACGAGGAGCCGGCGCGCCGGGGGCCGCGGGCCAGGCCGGAGGCCGCGCGGGGCGCCGGCCGGGCCGGGGCGGCGCTACGAGTGCGGGCGGTGCGGGAACGTGTTCACGCACCCCTCCTCGCTGCAGCGGCACATCCGCATCCACACGGGCCAGAAGCCGCACAAGTGCGGGGTGTGCGGGAAGGCCTTCAGCCGGCCCTCGTACCTCAGAACCCACGAGAAGACCCACAGCGGGGAGAAGCCGCACGCGTGCGGGGTGTGCGGGAAGGCCTTCCTGCGGCCCTACTCGCTGACGGTGCACGCGCGCGTGCACACCGGGGAGAAGCCCTTCGAGTGCGCGCGCTGCGGGCGGCCCTTCAGCTGCCCCAAGTCGTTCCGCGCGCACGTGCTGGCGCACACGGCGGGGAAGCCGTACCGCTGCGCGCAGTGCGGCAAGGCCTACCGCTGCCCCCGCTCGGCGCGCGTGCACGCCCGCCTGCACGCGGGCGAGCGCCTGCACGAGTGCGCGCGCTGCGGCAAGGCCTACGGCTGGCTCGCCTCGCTCCAGAAGCACGTGCGCGTCCACGACGGGGAGAAGCCCTACTCGTGCACGCGCTGCGGCAAGGCCTTCGGCTGGCCCTCGTCCCTGCACAAGCACGCGCGCGCGCACGCCCGGAAGGCGTGGGCGAGCGGAGCCCGGGCGGGAGCGCGGCCCGTCCGGCCCGCGCCCGCGCCTGCGCAGGCCCGCCAGGAGGCGCGCGCGTGCGCCACGTGCGGGAAAGCCTTCGCCCAGCGCTCGTCGCTGCGGCGGCACACGCGGACGCACGCCCTGGAGCCCCGCGCGGAAGAGTCCGGCCGCCCCGCGTCCGTGCAGGACCGGCTGGGAAGTCACACCGGCCACGAAAGTGGCCCAGACCAGGCCGAGGAGCCGGGCGGCGTGGCGCCCGCCTGGGACCCCCGCCACGCGGGCGGCGGCGGCCCCGGTGAGGACCCCGGCCCCCGGCCTGAAAAGTAGCTAAAGCAAAGACGGCCAGGCGCGGCCTCCGGGGTGGAGCCGCCCGGCGCAGGCCGCGGCGACGGCCCGGGCCCAGGCAAGCCCGAGTGCCCGCGCAGCCCGCGCCCAGAGCCACCCCGCCAGCCCGTCTCCAGCTTGTTTTGGGTTCTGCAAATGGACCTTGAGGTGAGAATAATCGAGGGGCTAACTTTCCCACCTTGAAGTGTCTTGCATGCAGGGTGATCTGAAGTGCTTTCTAATATGCATGTAGTATAGGGTTTGTTGTTGTTGTTCTGTAACAACAGTGGGGTCGTTAAGTGGTGCTGATTCAGTTCTTAGTGGCTTGTGCGTCCAAACAGGATGTCACATCACCTTTATGTCCACTGAGGAAACTACATTCACTGGGGTTTGAACCCAGGCACTTGCTAGACAAGTATTCTACCACTTGACCACGCCCCCGGCGCGTGCACCATATTTCCATCCCCAACAACCTTTTTTTTGGTTAACACTTTTTTTATATATAGGTATATAATCTCTGATAGTTAAGTTTTGGCCGGAAGATTGTAATTGCATTTTGACGACTGGCTCATTAAGAGTTGGCATACATTCGTTAGTACCCATAGGTTGGAGCATCATCGCCTAGGAAGTGTTTCATGTGCTGCTGCTTGCTCTCAGACCTTGCTTGGGGCCAGGCCTTGGGCAGTGTGTGAAATGAGAGATGCCCGGCCTGACAAGTGGCATCTAGTGGAGAGGGTTCTGCTGGGCTGTCCTGTGCTAAGGTTGGTAAAGCTAGGACTACATAACCCAGCATGCCTTCTCTGTGTGGTTCCTTGCTGGAAGTGTACAGAATGGAGCAAGTAATGATTCCTTCATTGAGGCTGCACAGGGAAACGTGGCCGCCTAGATAGGTGACTCCAGGGGCCAATTTCTTGTCCTGACTCCTTAGTCCCACCAAAAAAGAATTCCAGTTCCTTTCAAAAGTGTCTTCAAGCCAAGCCAGGCGCGGATGGCTCAAACCTGTCATCCTAGCTACTCAAGAAGCTGAGATTTGAGGACTGCTCCAAACCAGCCTGGGCAGGAAAGTCCGGAGAAATTCTTATCTCCAATGAATCACCAGAAAACTGGAAGTAGCTTTGTGGCTCAAAGTGGTAGAGCGCTAGCCTTGAGCAAAAGAGCTCAGGAACAGCACCAGGCCCTGAGTTCAAACCCCATGACCACCACCATCAACAAAAAAGTATCTTCAAGCCAGTCATGGGAGCACACACCTGTAATCTCAGCACCTGGGAGGCTGAAGCAGAGCTGGGAGCTTGAGGCCAGTGTGGGCTATACAGTTAGAAGTTGCCACAAAATATTAAAAGCATTTGTGCGATAAGCATCAGCTGCTAGATTTCCATTTGTCTGATACACAGCCCCATTTTCCCTTCCTGGGGTGCCCCAGGCTCAGATATTCAACTTGGATTTCCCAGCATGGCCTGCACTCTCCACCAGGACTGCCCTTCCAGTGACCCCCCTCTCCCTTCTCCTGCTTTATGTCCTGATGGCACCCCCACAGACACAGGAACGTAGCTATGAACCCCCTCAGCCCTGGCTTGTGCCACAATGAGATGAGAGGCCCTTGAACCGCAGCTGCTGTGAGCTCTGTGCACAACGCTGCCACTGTGGCCCTCGGTGCTGCTCAGTGATTGTTTTCATGATGTGCATTTGTAAGAATTTGTTTTTCAGAAATACCTGTTACCTATGTTTTCTAATAAGCTGTCCACATATGCGTCTTGATTTATGAGGTTATATGCCAGTAAGCCCATAACAAATTGAAAATGTTGCAAGTTGAAAGTAAAGACCTAGGGGCTGGGAAGGTGGCTCAGTGGTAGAGTGCTTGACTCACATGCCTGAGGCCCTGGGTTCGATTCCTCAGCACCACATAAACAGAAAAAGCCAGAAGTGGCGCTGTGGTTCAAGTGGTAGAGCGCTAGCCTTGGGCTGAAGAGCTGAGGGACGGCATCCAAGCCCAGAGTTCACACCCCATGAGTGACAAAAAAAAACCCAGCGTGGTAGCTACTTGGGAAGTGAAAACTGGGAGGATCAGTTTGAGAGCAGTGAAACCCTATCTCAAAGAATAGTGGGGATGGTAGTGCAGACTTGTCACCCCAGCTGTTAGGTACAAGGACCATGGTCAAGGCTGACCCCTGGCCAAAAACAAAAAACAACACTACTTCTGGCGTTAGCTATAAACTCCTATTAGGAAAAGTAACTTTAAGAGTGTTGGGAAAGCCAGGCGCCCATAGCTCACGCCTGTCATCCTATCTATTCAGGAGGCTGAGATCTGAGGATCGAGGTTCAAAGCCAGCCCGGGCAGGAAAGACTGTGAGACTCCTATCTCCAATAAAACACCAGAAAACTGGAAGTGGCACTGTAGCTCAAGTGGTAGAGTGCTTGCCTTGAGCTGAAGACTGAGGGACAGTGCCCAAGCCGAGTTTGAGCCCCAGGACCAACCAAAAAAAAAAAACAAAAACACCAATTTACAGAACCTCTTAATTTCATCAAAAGACAAAACCTGGGGCTGGGAAGGTGGCTAAGTGGTTGAGTGCTTGCCTTGCATGCTTGAGGCCCTGGAAGTGGCTCTGTGGCTCAAGTGGTAGAGTGCCAGCCTTGAGCTGAAGAGCTGAGGGACAGCGCCCAGGCCCAGAGTTCAAGCCCCACGACTAACCAAAAAAAAAGACCTATGAATCATGGGCTCAGAAAAAATATAAGAAATATAAGCGAAAGGCACAGAGAACCTATTCAATAAAATAAGAAAAAACTTCCCCAATCTTGAGGAAGAGAGGGTCATCTAGGTTTGGGAGGCTTATAGAACACCAAACAGGCCCTTCCTGGGAGAACAGAACAAAAAGGGCTGGGGGTGTGAGGCTCTGAGTTCAGAACCCAGTACAGCTGGGAGTGGGGGCAGGGAGACGACTGGGTGCTGATGGCTCACGCCTGTAGTCCTAGCTACTGAGGAGGCTGAAGTCTGAGGATCACAGTTCAACGCAGTGGGGCAGAAAGTCTATGAGACTCTTTATCTCAAATTAAGCACCAAAAAGCCAGAAGTAGAGTTGTGGCTCAAGTGGCAGAATACCAGCCTTGAGCAAAAATGCTCAAGGATAGTACCCAGGGTTCAGTGCTCAGGTTCAAGGGATAGCACTTGAACTTGAGTTCAAGCCCCAGAATCACGCCCCCCTCCCACACACACACAAAGGGAAAAAATGGTCAATATCATATGAATAATAAATTATTCTCCTAAGGAGTCATGTACAAAATAAATGGAGGGATATGCCTGAAGGTATTCCCACACAGATGTGGGGAATGTGTTCTCTGCTAAGGGCCATGTGGATTTTATTACACCACTCACAAGCCATCAAAATGAGCAGTACAAGCAGACAGGCTGCAGACGCTCAATGAGAAAGACACACCAAAGGATTTCATGGGCTTAAATACAATCTATGGTCTAGATAATCCATTCCCCATGCCTGGCATAAATAAGCTTTCTCTCCAGTCATTGGTGGCTCATACCTGTAATCCTTGCTACTAGGAAAGCAAAGCAGAGATCTGAGGATCATGGTTCAAAGCCAGCCCAGACAGGAAAGTCCATGAGACTCTTACCTACAATGAACTTACACGTGCACATACAAACTCAGGACATGGAACTGTGGCTCAAATGGTAGAGTGCTAGCCTGAACACAAAATGCACAAGGAGAGTTACTAGGTTGAGTTCAAACCCCAAGAGCAACAAAAGTAAAAATTAAAAATAGCCAAGTACTGGTGGCTTTTGCCTGTCATGCTAGCCACTCAGGAGGCTGAGATCTGAGGATCATGGTTCAAAGCCAGCCCAGACAGGAAAGTCCATGAGACTTTTATCTCCAATTAACCACTCAAGGGGCTGGGAAGGTGGCTTAGTGGTGGAATGCTTGCCTAGCATGCATGAAGGCCTGGGTTTGATTCCTCAGTACCACATACATAGAAAAAGCCAGAAGTGGTGCTGTGGCTCAAATGGTAGAGTGCTAGCCTTGAGCAAAAGCAGCTCAGGGACAGTGCCCAGACCCTGAGTTCAAGCCCCAGGACTGGGAAAAAAAACCCTCAAAAACCAGAAGTGGGGCTGTGGCTCAAAAGTACTAGAACGCTAGCCTTGAGCAAGAACTTAGGGACAGCACCCAGGCCCTGAGTTCAACTTCCATGAACAACAAAAATACTCCACATCTTTGTACAACTTTCACCCCCCCCACCCATGTGCCAGGAACCCAGGGCCTCAGACACACTCAGCTGAGCCACCCTCAGTGCCACGGGGTGCCCTCAGAACTTCTCTTTGGCGTGGGTTTTCATATGGGCACGCAGGGACACCAGATACCCAGGGGCTTTCCCGCGCTTCTGGCACTCGTAGGGCTTTGTGCAACGGTGGGATCTCTCGTGATGCAGCTGAAGGTTTTCCCACACTGCCGGCACGCGTGGGCTGGTGTTCCGAGTGTGTTGCTGTGTGGCTTCGCAGGGACGAGGGGTAGCAGAAGGCCTTGCCACAGTCCTGACAGCCGTCGGGCCTGTCCTCATGGTGGATCCTTGTACGTTCGCGGAGGGAGGAGTAGCAGCTGAAGGCTTTCCCACAGTGCACACACGTGTGGGGCTTCTTGCCCGTGTGCACCCTCACGTGGCCTCGGAACCAGGAGCAGCAGCCTAGGGTTCTCCCGCAGTGCTCGCACCAGGAGCGTGTCTCCCCACGGTGGGTTCTCACGTGGTCGTGGAAGTAGGAAGGACAGCTGAAGGCTTTCCCACACTCGGTGCACACGTACGGCTTCGCCGTGTGTGTGTGTGCGTGGGTGCACACGCTCATGTCATCTCAGGATAGGAACTGAAACGCTTTCCCGCATGTGCCACACGCGTGGGTTTTCTTCTGGAGATGAGGGACAGATTTTCCCACGTCTCTTCCATTCCAAAAAATTTCTTTTTTTACTGGGATTCTGTCCATCTACCTTAGACACCCTCCTCTGGGGCTCAGG